CATTGCATGTTTAAACCACAGGGTAATAGAATAGGAAAAATTAGTCAAAATGGCTACTTGTGACAGTTGGATCTGATTTCTTATAAACATTTTCCACCAGGAAAAGCTTCGTAGACAATGAGCAGAGAAAAATAAGCAGGAAAAAAAAAGTTTATAGAAATTCACAGAAGTGAAGATTTAGGGAAGATTGCCCAGCTGAGTTATTTGGCTAAGAGAACCCAAATTGAAGGAATGGATCTGAGTCCTAGACAGACAAGGAGCTAGAAGAGAAATTTTCCAGTTTGGGCGAGACTATAAGGGAAAGATGAGGGAGAAAGACTGGTAAACCAAAGTCTAAATGTAGCCTAAGAATTGAGGCTAGAACAGCATTGGCTGACTTACTTGTGAAATCACTTACAAAATAAAGGAAGACCAGGATTAATAAGTTAAGATCTATCGATCCAGTTTAATTTAATGGGACTCTGTACTTGTTTGTTCCCACATGTATATCATTTTGTACACCTTAGATGGCTGTGCAGATTGTATACCACACAATTCCCCAAGGCACCTACTCACACATCCTCCCTGGAATTGTGGGCAATGGTGTGTGGTAGCCTTTCTTATATCCCAAAGATTTTTTGCTAAGCAGGAAAATGGTAACCTCTTCTAGATGACTGAGTGTGTACTGTGCTTGAAAGTCAGTTTTGGGGATGGAAGGCTAGTAGTGGAAAGTACACTGGAAAGGCCTTAGTGTAAATTGATTTTAAGATGTACTGGGATCCCGGGGTACCTGGGAAGCTCAGTCCATTAAGTGTCTGACTCTTGATTTCGGTTCAGGTTGTGATCTCAGGGTTGTGGGATGGAGGCCCTAGTTGAGCTCTGTGCTCAGTGTGGAGCCTGCTTGTCCCTCTCTCTCTGCTCTTCCTCTTGCTCACTCTCTCTCTCTCTCTCAAATAAATAAATAAAGTCTTAAAAAAAAGATGTATTGGGATCCAGAAATGGTGAGAACTCATCAGCTGGAATCATTAAATTCTCTACTACTATAGACAACTTCCTTCCTTCAACATCTCCTCCATCACCTCCCAGAACAAGTTCCCAAGGGAGACATTTGGCCAGAGGACAAGGCCCAACAAACATTTACCCTTTGTTACTATCATTCCAACATAACTCCTGGTGAGCCAAATTGAGTGACATGGGAGATCTTTTTTTTCCTAGATCTAAATCCCTAAAACCATTTTTTTTTCTTATCCTTCTGTGCTAACCCCCAAATCTTTCAAATCTTACCATGGTAGTTGCCCATTCTTATGAAAAGTA